AAAGATTTTCATGTTACATGTTTGTACAGCTTCAGTGAAGGGCAATCCTGATATTAAAAACTGTAGTGTACAAAGTGACAGCTTAAACGGAGCATCACAAAGTAGAGTGTACAATTTATTAAATGATACAAATACATGGGCGAGCTTAAACTATTCCATATAAACCAACGATAATACAACTGACAGCCAGCAGGATAAAAATGTGTAATTTTTATTTAAAAGATTCAGTACTAAAACTGATAAACTTCTGGCTGTTGTTGTTAAAGGTGCTCAAGATAAAGAGCATTAATCTTTTAGTTTCAATACCGACAAATTCACACTAAAAATTTAAAAAATCACTAAATAAAACAATATTTTGTTGATGAAATTTATTCTTAACCTTGTGTGTTATCATTAGTGATGTGTATATCAATTCACTGTGAACTAGCTTTTGCACATTTGTTTACATTCACTCCATACTCATCATGATTATATACAGGAATGTGTCAACATTATATTGTTGTCATTGCTCTTATTATTCTGGATTGAACTTCTTTCATATAGTTTATTTTTGGACTTTTGGCTCATCTCTTATATCTTTGATATAAATGGTAAATGTGTCAAAGGTGTACAAGAAATATGGATACAAAGCCCCACACATTCTAAGTATCTGCACTTTAGTGATCGGATTTACGCTTTAGTTGCTCTTATTCCAAGGGAAAAGAACTCCCTGTGGCCACTGGTCAGAAAGCAGAGTGGTCTCAAATACACTTCTGATTCTGGTATTAAAAAATTCCAAAAAACCCTAACACAAATCAAATTCTATTCAGTGACTAGCCTGAGCTATCACGGCCCATTTTTTAATACACTGACCCATAAGACCAATCAGAAATATGGAATGAACAGATGTAGGTATAATAAAACAATTTTACATACCAAAAAGAAAACTGTTCAGAAGTAAAGAATTGCACACCATTAATGAATGGTTCTCATTTACACTTTATCATACACTTGTAATCTAATTTCCAAATATTCAAATTTTTCATGGTTACAGAAAATATATTTCCAGCTTAGTTTCTTTGCCATAAACTTGATTTGTAGAAGGTGTATCACATGATCACTGCTTCCTTTACCGGTTACAGTTAAGTGGAAAACATATTTCATAATTACCAAAGTAATCAGCAGTACAGTTATGTGTAGCTGATTACATTGAAAAAGCAGCATTTTTGTGATAAACCTTCTATACACTACTGTTCACTAAATATTATGATAATCAAATCAAGGATTAGATAGGCAGGGCATGTGCCACACATGGGACAGATGAGAAATGCATACAAAATTCTTGTCAGGAAACTTGAATAGAAATGGTCACTTGAAAGACCTAGGCATAGATGCGAGGACAATATTAAAATTGCTAATCTCAAAAATAAATACTGCATGTACAGGGCGCACAGCACTCTCTCGTGACCACCATAATGAGCTTCTGGGTTCCATAAAAAGCATAAATTTGATTAGCTGAGCAACTATTAGCTTCTCAATAAGGAAAAATTCCATCTACTTAGTTACACTTCTGTGAAGGATATATCCCACCTTGAAACTACCCTCAAATCTATTTCAGATTAAATAATTTAATCAGTGAAGGATTAAACAGAAACCATGACAGAGAACTGTTTTGGCTGTTATAAAAAAAATGCTTTTGGTATTTAAAAACTTGAACTGGATTAAAAATTTCCTGGCTACATTGAGCTATTACTTACAAAGAGCTCTGATTTGTACAACCTACCCGTACATTCCACTTTTATAGACTTTGTATATATAATTCAGTTCAACCTGAATTAAAACAAGATATTTCTCTTCACATGACATAAGCAATGCAATATACAACTTATAACTTTTTATAATCCTAAAAACAAAAATTTACTAATTGTCATTTAATTTAATTATGGGTGCAGTAGGACAGAGCATAAATACACTATGACCACAAACACACCATGGCCATCAAAAGATAACAGAATTGTTTGACATCTGTAAACTCATAGAATGTGACGTTAAGCTTGAGAAGAGAACTGTGTGCTTTTAAACATTTCAAAGCAAGAAAGTAAAACAAATCTGATGCAGATGTCAAACCACTCACTTAATGTACACATCATATAAAATATTAATGTTCGATTTTCTATAAATACATTGGTCCACAACTTTCCAAATAATACAAAAAAAAAAGTTTCTCAGTAAAATATGTTTAATATCAATTGAAAAATATAATTTCATTCACTATGAATAAACCTTGACTGAACAAGCTTGAATATAACGAGCTTCACATGTATAAAATCTAATTATGATCCCTACTCTCAATATAAAATGTGCAATTTAGCTTTAAAACTCTCCTCACAACAATGACAAACAGAGGCTTTGCCACACTGAATGTAATAAACACTCAAGTGCATGTAATACTTGATTACAACTTATCAGAGTTAAACAGAATCGACAAGTAAATTTTTTTACAATACACACACTTGCTGAAAATCCAATGTACTAAAATAATTATAACACTTATGGCACATGCAGCTTCGGAGAATGCAGTGCAAAGAGCACCTAGTTCTTCAACACTTCAACAGACAGCACATTTTACCTGCCTGCTTTTTAATACTAACAAAATGTGTAATCTTCTAAATCTACTTGCATTACGCTTACTTTCCCAGGTACCTTACCTTTGATGTTGGGTTAGGGATAGTTTTGAGTATACTCAACCCCAGTTGAAAATTCATGCAAGTGGTGAAGAGCTCTCACAACATACAACAGTTCTAGTAGCATGTTAAAAAAATTCCACTGAAATATCAATACTTAAAAGTATGTTAAAAAATATAGTTGCAAATCTTGCCTCTTGGTGAGAATAGCTGAGCTACAGGGTTAACTTGATGACCTTCCACCTCAGTCTCAATATGTTAAGGAAATTACATTAAAAACAGACGGCTCTTATGGAACAAAAAGCAGTTAGTTGATGGTTTCTCACCACTGCGTCTCAGGTTCACATCCAGGTCAGTCCAGTGGGTTTCGTGGTGGACAAAGTGTCATCTGAACAGATTTTCCTCAGAGTTCTTTCATTTTCCTTTGTTAATATCAATCCACTGTTTATCCATATTAATTTATGTATCATCTGCAAGGCAGAAACTGGGCCGGTTACAGGCTCCAGATCACTGAGACATAGTCTCACCCATTGTGCCAAATAACGAACAAGAAAGAAAAACTGCTATGACAACACAATAAGCAGCAAAGTGTACAAGGCATGTTCAGATTACTGAATCAATACACTGGTGGATATTTTTTCCAGAGATTGTCGCTTACCTAGAAGTTAGGACTACATTAGCAAATGTATTTAAACCCCCTCACAATTTAACTTGTGATACTGTATATAATGTAAACACATTCCTTACCTATCACATTTCATATAAAATAACGCAGGGGTCGGCAACCTGCATGTGGCCCTCACAACTTTTTATCCCATCATATCGCATGATTTTGAAAGTTACCAGTTTGAGAAAGGCAAAAATTTCTGTAATCGAGGAAAACACAGATATAATACACATATATATTATCCATGTGTAAGAAAAAATAACAAAAATATTTTAATGAAACAAAGATTTTGTAGATGTAGGCCTCTTAAAAGTGCATTATTTTGTAAAGGTACATTGTTCCATTGTTCAAACCATACGACACGACACTTAACAAAACAGTATAAAAATTACTGTGGTATTAATGACCGAGTTTTATAAAATTAACAATTGACTTGTCAAGTAAATACCAGGCTATATTTTATAAGTCAAAAAAATAGTTTTCCTTCCTGTGCACATTATTCATTTGTGGCCCTTGGCAATGAGAAGGTTGCCAATCCCTGAAATAAGGTATTGATAGATTTTCTTTTACTGATTGTAATATGAGTATCCCAATGCACTGCATTATTTTAATGTTATACTAAAAAAACAATACTGCAACGCTTTAAGTCACAATCAGCATTATAAATGATTACAAATTACAAAAAAGTAGTTCAGCACTCTTGCATAACATAGATCACATTACTCAAACCCCCAGTCTCATGTGTAAGGCATATACTGAGCCTTTTTATTTATTGGTTAAGCCTACTATTAAGCATGAATTAAATATTCTCACAAACAAAATATGCTGTGAATTATGTGAAATTATCAACGATATTCTTATTATCTATAAGAATGTCTTTGGGCAAGGCTACTACTACGTATATAAGCAATGCATATAAAAATTATTTGTAACTTAACATCCTTATGAAGGATATCCCCTGAGGACATCATCTCTCTCCCACATTTTCATTATATACATGGTCTTTGCATTCTCATGCATAGAATTATGGATACAAAGGAAATGACAAGAAAATAAATCAACAGATGAAAATGTGATCGCTGATGGCATCTCATTTCTTAACATGTCACAATTTCATAAAGAAATTCAGTTAATTAGAAATGTGTATAAAAAGCTCCATATTATATGCAACAACTTGTTCCTCTTGTGAGTGAACCGGCACATCCATTTTCTCTCACTTTCGAATTCGTCAAGAATATCAGTCTCGGCTGCATGACAATATTGTTCCATGTCAGCCATAAATGAGTGAACTGGAAATATATACACGCCCTTTGGTCCCTGAAGGTATATTTATACATCCCCTCAATACTCGTATTTACATTGCACAGTGGCTCATTATAAATAGTTACAATATGGTAATGATTGTTCAATCGACTAGTATAAATTAACATTTTAAATACGTCTCATAATAAAAATATCGACCGGGACTCAATTCACAGCTGCTCAGTGAAGGCTTGGCAACATTCAGGGAAGAAAGGGTTTGCTATTTTGTCCTTTCAATTCACGGGCATCTGTAAAATAACATAATAAATGTGTATGAATATGACTGGCTTGTATAGTGGCTCAGCCTCACGCTCGTTTCTGAGCCCATTTCATGTCATCAGCCCTTGGCCGACACCCGGTCACTTGTTCTATTATCCACTCGAGCATCTGCCAGAAACAAATCTTTTCAAGAGGCCAGTTGAGCCAGCCAGTTGTAATGCAGAAGTACGTCTCATGTGGGGCAACGTGGTGAATTCGATGGTGACGACGCGGTAAAATCACGTGGTACTCTTGGAGGAACACTACCCACGATGGCAAGCCGAAGTAAGTATGGGACCACTTGTGAATCTGTAACACATACAGCATGTGAAGCTACATCATTCCACACACACGAAGTGCTAATTAATAGCAGTAATCATTAAAAAACAGCAACCAACAGCATCTGAAATGTATCACAACTGTTTGGTTACATATAAAGTGTTGCAGAACCAATCTGCCAGAGATCTGGGAGATAATTTCACACAAAAAATGTTAATGCAACATTGGTCCTAATTCCAGATGGAGCTACAGATGTCTGAAGGTAAACCCAAGGAAAATGAAAGACAGCTTTAAGGTGCATACAAGCAAAAATAAACAGATTAATCAGATAAATCTACTGTGACTTTTTAGACATACATCATATAATTATTCAAACTGGCTGTCTTCTGGGTTGTAGCACCATGTAGTCTGTTAGACATTTACCAATGTTTCAGAAGTTGTTGCTGCCTCCATCATCAGGGTCGCCCTGATGATTGAGGTGGCAACAACCTCTGAAACTGGGGTAAATATTAACAATAACAACAATAGAATAACAATAACGTTTTGGATAAAATTCAATTCAATTAATTTATTTATGTGTTTGCCAACAGCAGGAAGTCAATAACAGGCAAACACTGATAATACATACAATAATAATGAAATAATAATGAACAATAGTACACAAACAGATTAACTAAACTTATACATGTACAGTATTAAATATAACTGCCAAGTACACGCAAAGCCAAAATAGAAACAATATTAACACAAAGCAAAATAAATTAAGAAATATAAATAAAAACAAATAATCCACCTAGGGAACACTAACATAATTGTAAAACGTTAAAGAAATATAAAAACAGATAACGAAACTAGATCATCTACAAGACAACCTATCTAGATCATTTCCCTTATTGAGAACGTGCCCTCAAGGGAGACAATGTTTATGCTAAATACGTCCAAAGATTTACATATGTCATTTGCAGCGATGACGCACCTGGCTGAAGGACTATGTCTTAGTGCACTGCTCACACTAAAAGTAGAAAATTCTCTTATTTGCCTAGCCGGCATACGTAAACCAACAGCGTCCATAATGGAATGGCAATTTACTTTGTCCTTAAAGACATTAACAAGAAATAGCGCATCGAGATGTCGTCGTCTGGAATAAAGAGTTCTAAAATTTAAAGTAGATAGGATCAATTCATATTTGCGTGGGATATTAAACTGGAAAAATCGGTAATTGCACAAACTGGCAAATTTTCTTTGAATATTTTCTAATTTATTAGAATCTGTGTGTAAGATTATTCCAAATGACCGAGGCATACTCAAGCTTTGACCTAATTAAAGCATTATATAAAACAACAATATGAATAATGATAAGAATAAAAATACTGACCTTTGGTCCCATTGTTACTGAAAAATGTGACAGGCTGACAGACATGGATGGGCTCAAAGTGTTCTTTGCTCATGTTAAGAGCATGAAGAACACCTGAAAACCAAATTGACATCTGAATTTCCTTCATTCTAAAGCTATGCCAGTTCCCACTTCAACTTTGTCTGCCAGCACCAAACACAAGATAGTTACATCTTAAATTTCTAATTTTTTTACCACTGTCAAATGTGTTGGTCTTCTTCCATGAATGATTGTGCAAAGATATCAAAGTTGAAACATCTGAAGAAGGGTCTATGGGAAGTCATATTATGCACATATTCAACACTGCACACAGCACACCTTCAAGAAAGGTGCCAAAAATTTCAACAAATTTTGTGTATACAGTGAAGGTACTCTTAACCAGTGCTAAATGGGAAGTTTTGGTTGTCGCTGGTATAATACCTAATTTTAAATTCAAATGATTGTGTGTTATTTATAGACTTACCATGAAATGAATTTATCTTAGGTTCCAATTTCTTATGCTAGAGTTTGTACACAGCTTCTGCCAAACACCTAAAAGTGTGACCTCCACATTACTGGCTTTTCATTATTTTATTGTATATTTCACTACATAACCAAACAACGTCAAAGTAACATAATATTGAAGATTTCCGTCTTCTGGGTTGTTGCACTGTGTAGTCTGGTCGACCAGACTACACAGCGCAACAACCCAGAAGATGGAAATCTTCATACTCACCGCTGTGAAAACCTCAAATCTTACATAATATAATATTAATGATCACACCTTACCTGGTTAGTCATGGCTACAAATATCGCAAGAAGAAATAAGTAACAGCTCCATGAGAAATTCTTCTGGACCTCTTCTTCTGAAAGAGTAATGAAGTGCCATGTCATCCGTCCCAAGAAAGGGATCGTCACCATGAAGTTATCCCCATTAGTTTCAATGAAATCATGCCTCGTGATGGATGTTGGGTCAATGTGATGCTCACGAAACGGCCGAAGGAAATTCTGATAACCACAAAAACACATGTTACAGAATAATGACATCAATATTACGGCAGTTCCCTTTTGTGAAGGGGGCTGTCTTGTTCTTGTGATAGTAAACAATATGCGACAATACAGATCAGCACACAACAGAGGAAAAAATCATATGGGTGTTGTCTTTGCTTCGCATATCCTACACGTCTACAGTGGATGATGGTGGCGAGTCCCATGGCTCTGGCCACTTTATACTCTTGATAGTGTGCCTAGTACCTGCTGAATAGGAGGCAGGGTGGTCCCCAAAGACAGTCTGGAGGTGAAGGTAAAGAGACAAATCCTGAGCCATTACTGACTCAATTGTTTGAGTTCCTAGCCTAATCGTGTAATACATTTTGACATTAATACTTGTAATCATTACTGTACATTTAGCCTATTTGTTAATTTTATAAATAAAGCAATGTTTATGGTGACATGACCGCTATTGCTGGGATGGAAATAGGGTTTTTAACAGAGTTATCAGCTTTCATGCAGACTTCATTTAAACACACTGTGTACATTCCCACTACTGCATTTTTTGGTGCTACTGTAACAGTGATTACAGTAATTCCTCTAAATTATAATGTTTAGATGGTCAAAGACAGCAATGTAAGTACAATCATGGAATCAGAATAGCCAGCCTCAGAGTCAAAAATTAAACTTGGGGCCTCTTAAATACAAAGCAAAAATGATAACCACATCCAGTAAATCCGTTGTTAAGAGTGATCTATCAGTCACAGAAAATGTTACAGAAAGGCAGAGTTCATGCCACAAAGTCTTCAGGGGGAGGGTACAGGAAACATGACTGACATTTCTTAAGACACATGAATAACATTAAGTCTAATAAATACAATATTCACCTTGCCAATGATGGGCAATTCCACTGAACCCCATGTGTCTGCACCCCAGTGAACAAGTCCTGAACTCAAGTCAGCTGTGATGATCCCACACAGTGCTGCTACCACAATGGTACTCAGATTCTCCAACCGAAAATGGATAACAATAAAGTAGAAGTTTACCGCCATCAAAGTTATACAGATTCCAACGCAGATGCATTCTTGTGTACGCTTTCCTGAGAATAAAAATTGTAAGAGATATCAATTTTCCATGGCTGTAAAAGTAAGGTATGTGGTCCTCTGGATACACAGTGGAGCCCTCTCCTTGTGGTGTTTAATTCGGTATAGGCAAACATTTCATTATGGAGATTAATTAACCACAAGGACAACTTACCCTTTTAATTAATCAGAATGGGCATATTCCAAGCATTATATAAAAATTTATTCCCTAAGTGCCAAATTGTGTTAGTGAAGTATGAAATTTAAAGTGTCATAAGCCCTCCAAATACGATATAGTTGGTAAATAACATAAATTTTATAATCCACTTAAGTACTTGAAAAGAACACTCTCATATTAAGATACGTTGTGGTACAAAACTTCATAATTACCACAAAAAGAATTTCAACTGTAAGCGATACTTTCAAATCTACGGCCAGTTCAACGAAACAGTTAAATCATGACCATAATTATAATGTGCGGTGAATGAAAATGGGCGTGAACCCAATCTACAACCGGCTAAAGTGGGCGTGTTACTACAAGCCAAATTACACAGAATGCATTACGAAGGGGGTGGCATAAAAGTACGTTCTTTCTACTATGTATAAATTTGGCTGCATTCCCACCCAACATGAATTACATAAGACTTAACACAGTATTATATTTGCTGAACAAAAATTCATGGATCGAAATTCAAATTTAGTACCAATCTTACCTCTGCTGTAAAGATTTGCTAGCTCCTGAGCTCCTTTGTGATGGGGACCCCATCTTGGCTTTATTTTTTCTTCGTGGGTTACGGCTGAATTTGCGTTTGGGTCATCCTCTAACATTGAATTTTCATATATTTGTTGATCTGTCTTTACAGGCGCTAAAAAATTGGACGCCATACTACTTCGAATCACTGCCCTAGTCAATCCATTATCTTTGTACTCCATGCTGTATGGGTCTTAAACGGTATACCGATAAAAATAGCGCATACTCGAAACAAAGTGAAGTAGACGTCATGTAGCTTGTCCAGTTCCTCGTTTTCTGACACGCAGAATGGTCTGACACTTCGCTTTCCTTCTCCCTCACGGGTCAACATTCCCCATCCTCACACTACAAACGTACAGTCGTTCGTTACATTACGATTACATGAACTTTTCCCCCTCTCTCGAACAAATCGAATCGAACGCCGTCAACCGACAGTGGCCACAACCAGTTACGGTAGTGTTACATTAGAGGGTCAGAAATTTCTTTTTGCAGTTTACAATAAATACTACATGTCTTAATACGGTACTGTGACAAATTAAATATCCCACCTAACAAACGAAAACGTTCTCCGTAATGGCATGTGACCAGCAAATATTAAATAGATGGACATCAACCAAGTCGCGAAGTATATTTATCAAGATCACTTGATTTTTTGTTTTTACTTGTATGGAAACAATCAACAAAGAGGGCCAAGACGAATAAATATTGGGCAAAATAAAATAAAATTGGTGTCTGAAATGCAGATTAAAATGTTCTTTAGTAATTTTGATAATATAAAATATTCTTACATAATCGTGGGCTTTTTTAATTCTAAACCACTTGTGTTTGCAAAGAGAGTAAAAAAGTAGGGCAAGAACAAAAACAAAACCATTTGGACTGTTACAAGATAAAGAAAACATGGCTACAGAAATGTTTTATGTCAATTTTGCTGATTGCTACTTGGCAAACAATGTTGCTCTATTTTTTATCGCTCTGAAACACTGTAAACAGTTTTCCACACTTTCCTAACAATTTTGTTTTGTCCTACATATGTCCTCATTGTCACGCATTAAATTATTGTAAGGGAGGTTTCGCTCCGAAGCGACCAGCAACAGGCATGTCAGTGACATCGGTACATGCAGTTGTATATACACAGCCAAAGTTATCCTGCAGAAGAGGGCGGGGGAGGAGATATCATAGAGACTTCCTGTCCTTCGGTTTTACTTCACAACTCATGAACTTAAAATACTGCCTAAAGTGTATTTTAACTTATGTGGTGAAATTCGCCTAGCATACTATGGTTTAAATGCAAGAATTTTGCTGAGGTATTAAACAAGGCATGTACGAGGTGCGATCGGAAAGTTTCAAGACTGTCTCAATAGAGGGCGAACCGGATGTAGTACGAGCTTCTGCCGCTAGGGAGTGCGGCCTACATTCATAGTGAATTAGTGTGCCAGCCGGCATCATCGAATTAGCATTTGTTTCTTAGTTACGGGCGTTTTGGTAGTGCATTACACCGACCCTCCTGCGATTTCGGAATGGCGGATTTTCATGAACAAATCAAATTTTGCCCATGTTTCTTTATTACAAACCTGCCTCCATCTTCTGTAACCTTCTTGTAAAAAATTTCGAACATACTCACTCGTACGTAGCGTGGAAAGAGTTGATATTGTTTATGGGTAGTATAGTGTTCCTATGTATGAAACATATTTACCAATGCATAAAGCGATGGCACCAGGCACGAGGCAGCATCCTGCCGTGAAGGCGAGGAAGGTGTACATATGGTTGGCTAGATCCATAAACTCCTCCACTTGGCGGAGAAGCCAGTGTCCTCTTGAAACCATCTCACGCAGCTGTGACCGGGTTCCTGTGAGTCGTCTTCCACTTCTGTACCTGCGTTACAACACTTGTGTAGGAATTGGGTTACCCAGAGACACTTGGATGTGTAATACTTGCGAAGTTGCCTTCAGGAACGCATCAGACAAATGTTTTTCTCGACCAGCACAAGTATAAGTTGCTTTTATATACAATTTTAATTAATTTACCAAGGACTGACTGTGAAGATGTCTGGGCTGTCGTGGACAAGCCACCAAATTCTTCGAAAAGAAAATTGATAGAAATGCGAGGACAGCTATACTTGTCAAAACAGCAGTTATTACTTCCACGAAAGCACTTATAGCCTCGTTTGAGATCTCATGTTTAAATGATAAAAATAGTAGGCCTCATACCACCGGAGGGAAAATATTGCTGCTAGCAACCATCAAAATGTGTAAAATTATGCATGGCAAAAACTATTCTCAAGCAATTACAGAAACGAAGTCCAAAATTTGCACTCATGATGGAGATGGCAGGTCTGCTGGAACTACAGTACGAGACTGTAATCTTGAGACTTGCGAGGAATGCAGTAAGTCCGTAGCGTTAAAGGCAGAAGATATATTTCTTCCGTCCTCCTTCACCCCACTTCCTCACCCAGCAAGTCTCAAGATTACAATCGCGGACTATACATATGTTCGTTACAGTGTTCTAGAAAACATCGAAGATTTCATGTTCTGTCTACCGCAAACAGAGAGAAGTGATATGTTCAAAGGATGTGACTGAAGATACTTTTTGGTTAGTTTGTGTGGGCATGGAGCAGCAACTGTGACAGGACACAATAAAAGCTCTCAGACTGACGTAATGAAAGTTGCTTCTCACGTAAACTTTACGAAACACAGCGTTCATAGAGGGGACTTTTCATCACATGACCAATTACATATTGTGCTACGAGAGGCCGTAAAAGTCGCGTATTATGCGAAAACTCGCCCGTTGAACTCTAACCTATTTGCAGTACTATGGGATGAAATTCAAGCACACTAAAATTTTGTTTATAGCATTTGGAGAGTTAGTAGTACTGGGTTTAAAGACGCTATTGCATTTCGAATGTAAAATGGTTATGAAGAGGTGACGTTTTTAAACAAGTATAGTTGAATTCATGGAAGAAATGCACAGGATTTTACGGGACTGATTTCCAACAATATTTGGGGAAGTGGATTGGTCTTCTATCATATTTATCAGATGTACTTCGTTAGACTTTGTCACATCTATTAAGAACTTAGTAGCCATGCACCTGTCTTGTGTTCTAGTGTTAGTACATGGACATGTATCGACTATTCTCACTATTCGTTAATCAACTGTACTTTGCTATGTACCTTAACCGCAATGAAAATTTAACAGTGCAAACAGCGTTACATAATAACTTACGTAATAAGTTTGAACTTTATGCCGACAGGTTTCGTCGGTAGGTCATCGATTCGTTAAATCATGTATATCCATCATCTGGCGGAAATATAAAATTCACCACAACAAGGACGCTAACCGCAAGGGTTGGTGATCGATTGAAAGTCTGAATACGTATTAAGCTACTTCAGAAAACTCCTTGACCTTGTGGTTCTTTCCAAGTATATCCATTCTACGACACACAAATTACGTTACGCAATTATTCTATATTACCGGAACTGACCGTTCTTCGTCCGGAGTTTCTTTGAAAATAAACTGTACTTTAAAAAGGAAAAATCTATTAATTATGATATACATATTCCTGTATTTCAATCTTTAGGATTTGAAACAGAACACAGCAAAATAAACTTCTCAACCGAATTATAATAATCAATCCCCGAATTTAATCTGATCTAAATGTAAGATTTTAACCTCAAAGGCGGAGACAGTATGTTCCTCCGAAACCTTGATGCACGCCTGGAAAAATTGTCTCCGAAAGTGTCCGTTCTTCGACCGAAGTTTCTTATGACAGTCTCACGGATGTGTACTCCCTTTGACCAACTTTCTATTACCACCAAAGCGCCTCAATGTGATCGCATTATGCACTAAACGACAGTCGATGTAACACCGTCGCTGAGAAAGTGACGCTGTCCAAAGGGTTCATAAGAATTATCGTCAAAACTTCTAACAAAAGCTATGAATTTGAATCGTGTAAACTACGATATAATGAGACAGGCAAAGGCTTTTTCTTTTGGGAATAGGATTGGCAGCTCTGGTTTACAGTAGTACGCTCAGACGTCACTTTCTGCGCAGAAACGCAAGCCTGTCTAATTGCTCGTGTAAACATGCGTGAAGACTTGCCTTATTTAGTCTGCACTGCATCACGAACATCCAGTAATGACTAGATGAATCCGCTTTTGTAATTTGGCCACCGTGTCCCATGTATCCCGTTCACGAAATTTCAGTTTGTTCTACTGATCTGTACAGTCGTTCTACATGATAAAAAGTAAATGGACGCCTCCACCTTTCTTAAAACCTAAATTCAACATGGTGTACGCCTTTTCACAAGTCATTGTATTTTAACTATTACACCCCCATATCTAATTCAGAGAACATGCCGTTGGCAGTGTTCTCAGTATTTTTGGTCTAAATTAATTTTATAACGGTTCTTAAGTTTTGGTTTGATTTATTTACTGTATGTGTTTATGGGGCGGATTCAACTGACTCGTGACAGGGTCCAGTGATCGGTTCTTGTAAACACGGGAATGAACCTTCTTATAAAAATCTTAGAATTTATTGGCTCCTGTCAGCTCCTCAAGTATTTACGATATCGGATGCGATTACGCAAGACTTATGAGTTGTAATTCATTTTGTCATTCAGGCTATTTGAAGGTGCCTCCTCACCAGCTCTCTCACCTGTAGGACGAAAATAAATCTGATTTCTTCATTGTCAGACCCGTGTCTTGTCTGTTCGTAAGGTTTGGGAGATCTCAAGTCAGTAGAGTGACTGTTCTGGGCATAAGACCCCAAGTTTCGAAGTCTTAATAAATCAATAAGTTCTGGGAAAATCTTATCAGGCCTATCATCCTTCAACTACTTAATCTATATGATGACGCTATTAGAAGTACATCGTAATTTTTATACTGTACCATAATTAGTTAACCAGTCTGTATTATTTACACTAGTATCTACTCCCATTACGATAAACGTATCAGACATAACTTAAAAGTAGTAGAACTATCAACATGTTTGTAATTGTTAACATATTCTGTTGCATAACAATCGTGGGTATCAGCCTATATAGTGTAACTAGAGCAGAGAGCTACTTTCGGAGCTCCTCGGGGAGTTGGTTGCGTTTTAAAATCTTGAGTAAGAAACTAAACCAACCCCCCCATTCGGGGGGGTTGGTTGCGTTTTGAAATCTTGTGTAAGAAACTAAACGAATCCTCCCCCCTTCGGGGGGGGGTTAGTTTAGTGTCTTACTCAAGTCATTTGTTTACTCGGCATTGTTGTGTTGGTACAACAATGCCGAGTAAACAAATATAACGTAACATTGTTTGATGACGTCATTTTTTGATAGACGACAAATCACAAATTTTTATAGTAGAGCGAGATACAATCGACATTCAAAGGCAAGATAACGTTATATTTCGTATCACCACCATATCGTTGTTTTATGTAAAAAAAAAACCGTATCAAAATGTCGCATTTTCATTTTCATTGATATGCAGTACGTAGCACCATCACGGTTCCCATTTGTAAAGCTATCACAGCTGCCATATTAATGTTATCCATAAACCTGGTTTCCTTTTAAAACAAAGAGAAGTCCTCATACTTTGTAAGATTTGAGGTTTTCACAGCGGTGAGTATGAAGATTTCCGTCTTCTGGGTTGTTGCGCTGTGTCGATGTTAACCAGACTACACAGCGCAACAACCCAGAAATCTTCATCCTCATACTTTGCTTATTAATCTTCCATACGGCAGAAATCGATGGCTGTTGTAGTAGCTCCAAGGTTTGTCAATTTCGTTACGTAAGCTCTGACCGAACTGTCTGAAGCTCGAATTCGTCTCTCACAACTACGCCATGCCTGATTAAATTGAAGACAAATCACGAACCGTGAATTACACTTTCTTCGCTTTAGGAAATCAGTGCGGAAGAAAAACTACTCCATTTGTAACACAGAAAGCTTTATACAAGGCTCAGCGAAACGTATTGGGATTCAGGGTCACAGAAGTTGCTGACAAACAAGTCAGTTTAGACCCCGAATGTTCGAACCCACTAACACTAGACGCAATCTACTTATATCCAGTTCACTTTTTCACAAACTCTGTCCTTAATAAAAAAAAAACATTACTACTACCATCATTAATTAATTATCCCGTCACCCGTCTTTCCAAGAAGTCATTCTTAGGAAACTAACAGTCGATCAGACAGTAAAAAAGAAAAAAAATCGCTGTTTATAGTATCCGAAAACTCATTATCATGCTCAAAAGACCCTCAAATGAATCATATTCTGAGCCAAATAAATTCAATCCACAACCTAACACTCTATTGTTTTACGTGCAATTGTAATATTATCCTCTCATCTACTCCTAGGGCTTTAATTTCTCTCTTCGCCTTGAGGTTTCGAGACTAAAATTCTTTAAATATCTGCATTTCTTAATTATCCATCTCAACATAAGCTCAAATAAATTAACGTTATGATAACCAGCCTGATGCAGTTATATTTGTGTGCATAAAAATAAACACTACTGCGTTTAACATGTGAGGTTATGATTGAAACATTGTCTCGCCAACAATTTTTGTTATGTTGTTATACTTTATGTTGCCCGTCTCTCCTGTTAGATGCCTGTACCGGTAAACATTTCTCGCATTCTGCTTATATTATTATATATCTGCTTTTATCTGCTATATTCTGCTGTTATCTCTTCAATGATGTTTACTATAAAACCTCTCACGATCCTTGGAATTACCTTCGTTTATGTTAAATCAGCGTACGCCTATATCCTCCAGATAAGAAAAGCCTTCGCATTATACAGCTCTCACTCTTCTTACTGAGACATGTTACATATCACGTATGCCTCTGTGTTGGATTCTACCTGCAAAAGTATTCCGATTAATTCGTAGAGGTTACAGCACTCGTAAGGTTTATTGAACGATAAGATATAAACACAAGAATAAAAGAAATTAATAAAAACAGTATTTAGATTGTAGATGGCTAGGTTGTTGGACCGTGTAGTTTTGTAGAAGTTTACCGACGTTTCAGAGATTGTTGCTGTGCCTCCAGCTTCAGGGCGATCGTACGGCGCAACGATCCAGAAGACAGCCATATTCGCACTCCCGCCATGAGAACCCAGAATCTCACAATATCTTATTTCATCATAGTTCTAAGTTTCTGTTTACACACCCGAACATATATGTTCCTCGCGAAGTTAACAAATGTTAAGTTGCATTTGAACATGGTTCGTCTTTACTCATTCTCTGAAAAGTACGTACGTAAGGAGACAGTCAGAATTAGTAAGGTTTCACTGGTATCTTTTGTTGTGTGGGTGTTATCTGTGAGGCGTTCATACAGACGGCACATCACACAATTAAAGTCGCAAAAATGGAAGAGACTTCCTAGAAGATCGATGTGTAAGGAGGATGATATTCCTCCATCTTCAGGGCTGAGACCCAGAAGACCAGCATTAACTGGAATTCTGTTGGCAATGGATTCAGACAAGACCCTGCCAAATCAGTTTGTTGGTTGACTGCATGCTAGATGCTTCAGAAACTATCGGGAAGACGTGTTAATGCAGAACACAGATTAACAATCTGGGCTGAAGGAGCCTTGTGAAGTTAAAACTTTCTGCGATTTTTTCTTAATAAAAAAATTATATAGGCTACACAGTATGTACTGATCCTTTTGGTAGTAAAATATTTTTCTGGAACCTTCCAAACAAGAACACAGTTTTTAAGGACATTTTTTATTCACAGCCCAATATGCACAAATTCAAATTAAATCAACCCCATATTAGAACGAGTTGCACTCACCCATTTCCATGAGTCAAGTTAATTGGTGTTAAATTAAAACCAGAAACTATGCAAAGTTGTATCCTCACATCATGTTCTGCATTAAGCCAATTTCACTGTTGCATATTTTGAGAATGTTGTTTCGTGCAGACAGGTCCTATGTAAATGAAAACAGAAGTGGCTTCTACACAGCCACATTTAAAATGCATAAAAATTCTTCCTTCAGACCAGCCCAAAAGCATTCAGAGGAACATCTGTTGTGTATCTTTCTCATCTGCATTTGCTGAAATGACAATTCTCCACATTTTGTTAATAATCCTTGTTCTCTGAAAGCAAACTTAAATGGATTTAGTAACCACCGAGAACTTCCTACAAGATGAAAGTACTTTCACTGTAACTTGTAATTATTGTAAATTTGTCATTACGCCTCAAAGAACATCACTTATAACGCTACCTCAGCATTTCCTGGAGGGACTGGGAAGACCACGATGTCTGCCAGTCTTCATGGCGAAATGTGAATCAGGGACTTCCCAGATACAAAAAAAACCACTACACCATGATGTCCGGTAACAAGAAACATAAGTACTCTTCAAGTAAGGCTCTCAAAGAAGCTGAATCCACACGGATGATCACCATTATTTCTACTTAACTACTAATCCGTAAAATAAATGAAAGAATGCTTCAAAACCCTAGTAAAAATGGCATAAATAATAAAAAGGAAAGCTTACATTTCAGTCAACAAATTTCTGTATTTCAATACATGCAATTTCAATTCTTGAAATAGTCTTGGTTTGCGAGGTCCACAGACATTGCAGCGTCTCCAAGAGTGAAGCACTTGCCACCACCGAGTCCCCAGTTAAAGCATAAAATTAAGAATAAATGTATAAAGCGAAGCTTTCGCGGCGACTGAAGTCGATGGAAGACTCTCAGGCTTGTAGCCCGAGAATCTCTCAACAAATTAAGAACAAATTGTAAAAAAGGATATTACATGTCTCATGTTCACAAAATTACTCTATTCATTTTGTCTTACCTATCCTCATTACTTTACTGAGTCATTCAATATTGGCTTCTTTTATGGAAATAAAATGTCTCCAGAACTTTACAAGACCTTACAATTCTGGACAACTGAAAACTTATATAACACACTGAGTTCATTGGTTAAATCACAATACCAGCAGACACATAAATAGTACCAATTTAAAATGTATTTTAATTACAATTCTTAGAACGAACATAATTTCTAGAAACAGGATCTCCTAAAATGGAAAAATCACACAACATTTAATGCAACAAGACAGTCTTGTCACCAAATGAGACACGTTTCAAACACATAACAGATGCTGATATATACTGTTTATAACACAAGAACTAAATAAATCCTACAGGAATTTATAAATTTATTAAAGTTTCTGATTAATATTTTAAGAAACTGAGTAATCACTAACAAATGCCTGACCCTTGCACACACCTCACATGTGAAATAAAGTCTTTGCATACATCAAAAGACAATATTTATAGTGTATAAATTAAAAACTCTTTTCTTACATTCAGCAACATAAGCATAAAGTAACATGACTTTAAATTAAGTTGCTTACTACCAAAATGATAACCGTATTTCAGTACTGCACTTAACCTTTAATTGTTCGGTGCATATGAACAGTGAGAATTAATTAATGGAGGCTACTCTTAATTTAAACTTAAGAAATCACTTGCGCTTAAGATTTTTATTATGTATCACATATATGATAAAATGTTTATGAAAACTGTAATATCTAAATAACTGACAACATATTCTGTTGTGTAGTGAGGGTTCCAAACATAAAAGAAATACTGTGAAGAATTCTACAATTCAATCTTATACTGGGTGCGGCAGAGGAAACGCATGTTTTTCAAATGGTTAGTACTCGGCAAGGAGGAGGGTGGAGGATTTCCGCCCCTTGCTAGTAGACAGCTTAGATGATGCAGTTTCAGTAGCCATGGCACCGTGGGCCCGAGAGCATCGATGCAGGTGGTTCATGGCATGTTTCCCCAAAACGTCATCTCCTGTTTCGGTGATATCCCTTGGCCGCCTCGCTCCCCTGACCTATCCGTATGTGACTATTTTTTGTGGGGTTACTTCAAATCAAAGGTCTACAGAAACAAACCATGCAACACCCAGGAACTGAAAGATTCCATTCGCACAGGAAATCACTACTGTGGGGGAAGAAATGTTGGGAAGAGCAATGCAGAATTTCGAAGAGGTGCTGCAAGAGTGTGTACAGAAGGAAGGGCGTCACTTGACGGACGTTATTTTTCGGAAGTAATTCAAAAATGTTCAACAAAAACTGCATTGTAAAACCTTTCTTTTTGTGTAATTAAAACTTTTTTAACTTGAAAATCAACTGAGTTATTGTTATTTGAAAAACATGCGTTTCCTCTGCCACACCCGGTATAATTCTAAAGACCAAGAATAATAATTACTAAAAGGTTACTCTTAAGTTTGCGCAGAAATATGTATTAACCCTTCCACTGATGATCCTCAATGCTATGTGGTCAACCAAGACAATACAAAAAGTTATGTAAATAGTCAATGGCTTACAGGGTTCACTATTTACATGTATTCTACAAGGCAACCTGGAACTAAAAAAGTTCTGAAAGTAAGGAACAAGCAGGAAGTAAATGTTCATAACTAGAAGCATTTTGCATGCAAATGTTTGAATATCAAGAAGAGCACACAAAGACTGCACACGTGTACATGACATCCAAACCAAAATGATAGCAAGACTGTAGAGCTAGACACACATAGAAGTAAAAAATTTAATTCGTTTTCTGCATGGAAATGGCAACAGTCCAACATAAATTCATCAGGAGCTTAATGCTGTGTATGGAAAACATAAGGTGTGATCACGTTCCATAACGTGACACCACACAGCCGGCAGACCCAAAAGTGTTACACAGTCCAGACTTGGTATCCTCAGATTTTCATGTCCTTTGGCTCCAGAAAAACCGAATTTACCGGAGCAGTAGTTTGTGGATTAAGATAATTTTATTGTGGCCATAATAAATGCTGTGTTACAATAAACTTGTGTACCTTACTTTTGGAACATTCCTTATAATTGTATATTTTACATGTGTTTCAAGACATATCCCTTCCACTGTTAGCCAATACTGATCCAAGTGTATGTGCAATAATGCATCCTGATAAAAATATTAACCTCACATCTTTCCTTTCCTTATTTATTTTCTGTGGAATTTCCTGAAACCCAAAACTGATGTCACAATACCCCCTACACTTCAAGGATCAGCTCCATCTGCAAGAATCCACATGTTCCAAACTGGCTGAAATGTTCTGTTCATAATGGTGGAAGGGTTAACATTATCCTTTGCAATCTACCACACTACAAAAGATTTGGAAACAAAACCCATCGTTTAGAGCAATACAGTTTCGCTCGTACTTAAAAAAATCAAACTTCTTAAATCTCAGCTTATATTCAGAACTACTGCAAGAGTTCTACTGAAAAATTATAAATCAACATGAGTGTTCATTCATAATAATAATAATAATGTTGCAAATACTCTTAGTATGCAAATTTCATTTAAACATAAGCCAATGCTGCGCACTACAGATGTGTAACATCTTAATGTCTCACAGTGAAATAACCTCTGTTAATTTTTATAACAAATCACAAGCCCAGAGCACTTAACGAAAAGAAATACAAGCCAATCTGGCCAACTTGTAAACATTAAATTATATCTAACTCTATCATTAATCTAGGCAATTACTGTACAGGTATCTAACAGCTTGACGTCAATGACGAATATCTGTCGTCTGTGTTTAGTCACAAAACAACCTTTCTCAGATTGGTAAGAAATGTCCATCTTCCGTTACGAAGAAATGTTTAAACATTAAATCCATCATTCCATTCCACCAGGAAACTGAAACGCATCACTTCCTGTTCTCAAAATTATGACGTATGACAATGATACATGATTGTCTCCCATTCTTGCTACCTGATGAATTGTATGGCTTTGTGCATTATCATTATAACAGAGCATTGGTTGACAAGAACAATTTACATTCAAACTCCACACAACATACTCAAAATTCCACTTCATGTGGAAAACAGTACTATGATAATTTATGTCTGAACATGTTCTTATCACAAACTTCCATTGTTCAACCAACTGTAATTCTTCAACCGCACTTAATCTACTTTCACCACACTGTAGATTTTCCTTACAAACCAGAAGCACGCAAAAAATCCTATGGATCCTAGAAAAAAGAGAATAATTCAGAGACTGTTGCATATGTTCACATCAAAGTAACTGCCTTCAAGAGGGTGGTCATAAAATCCCATACTTTTATTAAACTCAAAGGACCATCACTGTCTCTACAGAAACCTGCCAGCGGATCCTAACATCTATTTCATAAGGCTCATTTTAATAATATTATCTGACTGATACGTAGTCGTCAAATGGCATCTTCCTTTGAGGCAACCTAACCAAAATGTTAAATGCAAACACGTACACCATCCACCTCACAGCACTCGATTTAATCACTCTTAACAACGCAGGCAAAAAGGAATTCTGAAGCATCAGCCTCACGTAACATCCACTTTCTTATGTCCAAATATTCTCCTCATCATTTTCCTCTAAACACCATGACTTTATGTTCTTCTGTTAGAGCGACAGACTACAAAACAATAAATAACAGCCAAAAAACAATTTACAAAATCCTTTCAAGTTTTATAATTATGGGTATGTTGTAAGATGAGCTCCAGAAGACAAGAATCGATCTAAGTCTTTTAGTAATATCTTACCTGTTAAGAGAAAGAAGAGGAACACCATAATAAGAGTGTATCCAAAATAGACAAATATAGATGCTGCATCTTCAATGTTAAGCTTGGTGACAAAATAGTGGATACAGTACACGAATAGATAGAATGCAGTAAAACCACTTGTGAGGAAACTACGCCACCACCAATGGTAATCCTAGAAACAACAACGACACTCATTACATGTACCAATACATGTGCATATATATTCACAGGAAATATTGATGAAGCATGTTGCAATTTTTCCAAATTTACATTTACTATGCATCTAGCTGCCATAAGGACATACAACATTATTTCAGAAACACTGAAATCAAGTAAAAATTATGTCACCTCTGCACACAAATGGAAGTAGCAGAGCAGGATCGTTGTTTCTGAGCAAGTGATAACAAGTATGATGAAAACCAGGAACAGAAATCCAAACATGTAGTATATCTGACTTGACCTGCAAACCAAGAAATTACAATTTACAACGCAATCTTAAGTAATTCGCATTCCAACATGAAAAATACCTGGCCAAGTTTTTCTAGACACTAGTTTCTAGTCTGACAGACAATCTAGTTATAAACTTGGCCATACATGAACCTAGAGAACAGCAGTTACCAACATCTGTAGGTACCAGTGTGAAAAATCCTCTGAATGTTTTAAACTCTGTACCTCTCGCTGGCCAGACCGAATCCCAGTAATTAAATACACAGATGCAACCTTATGAAAAATAGCAGACATCTTCTAAGCCACTGACTAAAGTTATGAAATAAAAATGGTCCTCATGCAAACAAAAACATGAGCCCAGAAAAATAGTTTATTTTCTAAAGGGTTATTTTCTCTAAAATTAAATATATAATACTTTGTTATTACTCATGTGACAAGGAAACACTTGCTATATTTGTAAACTAATAGGCATCTATCACGCTGTGAAGTACTCCTAAGTTAATGCTCTAATTGGATACACGCATAACCTAACCTCACACTTTGTGCAACTTTTCCAAGAGTAGAACATGTATGTCAATGCAGCTTTTTTTTTTTGCTTTTGTTAAACTAGTAATGGTTATGGCTGGACTCTGTATTATCATCTTACCATAGTGAGTTAAGAATAAAGAACAACTGTATGAAAATGCAGCCAAATGGTAGAACTCCACCCATTATTATTCCTGGAATTGGCTGTGTGTAAAGGCTCTGATCAGGGATTTGCCGAGGAATTTGGTTTGTTCTCACTGGATGTTCAATTGGCTGTAATAACATTAAAAACAACAATGGGAAGTTATAAAAATATTGTACAACTATCAGTAACCTACAAATTCAAAACATGAAGTTTGTGGATTTTCCCCCCTTGCTTTATTACCGTTAGCAACAATAAAACTTGCATCCACTATAATGCATGAAGTTGGACAACAAAAATTAGGAATTAAAGTGAGTGCTAACTGATCAATGTTTTTAATTAATATTTTAAAATTATCAATCTAAAGAAAATAAATTTTATTTAGACAATAATTAATTATGGCAGACTAAATAGTAATGTTTCCATTTCAACAGTTTACACTTACAGAACTAAATCAGACACTTATCCAGCAACATTTATTACAGAATTCTAATAACTATATTCAGTGCCTGCACCAGCCAAATCTTTGCCCAGTCTTGTTCCACACTTCATGCTCCATCCACTTCAACCCCAGAACACTTAGAGCAATTGGATATGAGGCTGGGTGGGCCCCATGACAAATTGACATGCAGTGACAGAGCAAAGTCCCTAAACTTGCTGGGAATCTAAGAGTAATTCTGGTCATCTAATCCATAATCAACTTTATTCAGCTACGCCAAGTTCGCCAACTGAGGAATCATGCTTCGGACTGGTGATACAGAATACGTGATGGTTTGAGTCTCGAGGAAATAAATTTCTCATGAGATTTTCAACGGGTGTATGGGACCGGTTCCAACCCAGCATCGTGAGGAAATTGGGAAACTACAATGGGTAGCATAATCCGGTTGTGAAAACTAGCAATGGCCGGGGGTTCGTCATGCTGACCACACGTCACCCTATATCTGGTTGGATGATCGTTCACCTTTGCTTAGGCATGTGAACGTGAGGCCAGTAGCCAGCTAGTCGGCTTTGGCTCTCAGAGGGCACAGATTATTATTATTATTATTAAAAATAAAAAAGTTAACACTTGACATCTACTGTGTATTTAGATCTTTTTAATGCAACTTCACATTTCTCCTTTTTATCTTAAATATTTTTGAGATCGGGTGGTACACTGTTGAAGATTCTGAGGTCAGTACTGAAGCACCTTTATAAAAACATGAGGCTGGCAATTGATCTATGACAGTTCTTATTCCTTGCATACTGTATATAATTGAATGTCTGAAAAAGTTCTAGGTTACTTACAATTAATTTCAATAATGATATTTAATCACTAGGACTAGACGACTCACTCTGCCAAAATTTAAAAACAAGATATTAGCCATACCCTCTTCCTGAATCCAAAGTATGCTCCGATAAAGGTGAGCGGAACAGAAACTCCAAACCAGAGAGCAAGAAGAGCAATGAGTGTGGTGAAAGGAATAGCTCCTGAGCTGCCCTTGCTCCAGAGAACCAGGTTCATCACGAAGAACAAGCAGAATACAAGGCTGTAACAAGCCAAATTTAATTTATAACTTATTGTGAATTCTACATGATTTTAATTAAATGAGTAGTCTTGACAAATACCTATATTTTAACTCAAACATAACTAATTTTCAAGAAATACCAATATAATTTTAAACTTTAATGAACCTAGAAGCAACAAACATTGTTGCAGCCCTAATTTAGGAAACCACTAAGCATTAGAAATGAACAAGAAATACCTGAAAATGGACTAAGTGACCCAAAACATGTACTGATATGTTACAAGACATGAAAAAGTATATGAATACTGTGTAAAGACAACATTAGACGGAATGTAATATACATTAAACACACAAATAGTATTTGGTAAAAGTACTATCTTCATTACTATAAATTTACCCTGGACTCAGCATTGAAGTAAGAAGTACATTAGATTTCCATTTTTCTCCACCAAAACTCTTGTACACACGAGCAGATACATATCCAGCTGGAGTGCCCAGACAAACAAACAACACCATTGCACAAGTCATCAGCGCTCCACGATTCGCAGGCGACAGGAAACCCAAGCATGCAAATGCTGGAACAAACATCACAGAACCGCAATAAAACAAGTCCTTATGGACTATTGTTATTTGTATTTTATATATTCCTTTGGTATTGATACCATTAACAGCATTCAAACTATTTATTACTACTGATATTTGCATAAGTGTAAAAATGAAGGCATAATGGGTTCTATATTAAAAGCTGAAACTAGCATTGGAACATGAGGTGATGAAACCATTTCAAAAGCCAAACATCACAAAATATCTTGGCCAAACTAGTACAATAACATCTCTATCAACTTTGCTCTATTCAGCCCATAAACCCCATGTAATTTTACCCAGAGTAATGAGGGACATGAAATAAACTTGTGTTCCTGAACCCAGCAGTACAGACAGCAACATTCCTTTGCGAGGCGGACGAAATACATCACCATGCACCAGTTTCCAACCAAACTCTTCCTGTGCATCTTCACCCGAATCAATCTGTAAAATACAGTACAATTCTAGTAACTGTTTAGAATACAAAGGCTACAGAAAAAGTGTTTACAGTATGAAACTGTTTCACAGTAATGTGCAAGTTGTAACCAAAGTATTTTTTTCTACAAAACACCACCTAGCTTATCCCTTATGCTTCATACTCAATGGGCCTCACACATTGTGACATATGCTCATTTCTGACAATGAAATACACCCTATCTACTTTAAAATCAATCAGCAGCACTTAGCACTAAACACATCCATAAATAATGCATAACCACAGTCTTCAAAACTAGTCTGCCATATGGTGAGGGGTGATTTCAAAGGTAATTCAGAGTAACAAATGTTTATGCAATAGTAGTCATATTTCCAACCATTGAGAAGCTATGGCAGTTTCAAGGTACACACAAGAAACATAATTTGGAATATTAATCAGAAGAATTAATTGCTACACTTCATGATATACATCTTACAGATGTTCAAAATGTCTGCCATGGTTAGACCATTCATGTTAGCACATGTAACTACTGACAATTAAGTGGACTTCCTGATGAATAAATTGCCACTTTTAATGGAGGACATGCCTCTGCAGACAAGGCCCAGGGCCTTCTTTCACTATAACAGAGCAATTACACATTTTGGTCATCAGATTACAGCTTACTTAAACCAGGAATATGGCTGTCTTCTGGGCTGTAGCTCTAAGCAGTCTGGTAGAAGTTTACCAACATTTCGGAGGTCACAGATATGCTACAACTCAGAAGACAGCCATCTTTCTATACACCGCTGTGAGACCCTCACATCCTACAACCTGAATCAGCATTATAAAAATCACTGAAATGATCATCATAGAAAAATAACTTGGCTGCCAAGATCACCGGACCTAACCCTGCTTGATTTATTTTTATAGGATCTAGTAAAACAGATAATTGATGGTAACAAAGCACTTGCAAGAAAGGGACTCCTGCATCGAATTATGGACGCTGCTGCTTACACATGAAAACACCCCAAAATAATGCAATGGGCAAAACCCTCTTATTTGGCAAGAGAAAGGCTGTGCATTCTTAACAGTTATAAGATGTATTTCATAACATGTACCAATAAATTAATAAACACAAGATTTCTTGAACTATTATATCTGCAGCATTCATGAAAATATGTGGCATCATACAAAATACCTTATTTACCTGATTATAGCGGGCAATGTCCTTGTGAAGAGTTCTGAGCATTATCATGGCTACCATACCAGAGAGAAAAAGGACAATGACAAGAGAGTTAAGAATGCTAAACCACTGTATATTTGTATGTGGCATTGACTCCAGGATGTAGTCCCATCGTGACGACCATTTGGTGGTATTATTCATCTGAAAAAAACAAGACCCATCTGGACCTAAGTCAGAGCAAGCAACAAAAGGTTAAAGAAATTACACAGGAAAAAGTCCCTTATTTTCTACTCATCAACATACATTAGATTGGTCAAATTGAGAAGGATGAAATAGGTAGGACATAACAGATGCATGTAAAAGGGGAGAGACCACCACATGGGTGACCTAAGAGGTGGGAGAACAATATTAAAATGCATCTTACAGAAACAGCATGTGAGTGTGTGGACTGGATTCATCTGGCTCAGAATAGGGTTCATTGGTGGGATCTTGTGAACATAATAATGAAAAATCAAATTCCTTAAGACAGAGAATTCTCAAGTCACTATAAGCTTCTCAAGGACAAAGCTGAGTGGAATTAGTTTGTTAGCTACTTCTAGAGCAGGATACTTACCACAAACTTGACGCTATAGGAATACACGATATTTAAATCATGTTTCAGTTCGTTGCCTGTTATATCCATTGGGTCTTTCTCAGAACAGTCAAGTTTATCTGGATCTGAGTGCTTGATGCTGCGAGGAGTCACTTTCACAGCTAAATGAAAAGCACAACATTTTGAGGCCAATTTTTGCACTTAAAACACATAGTGAGCTGTAATATTTTAAAGGAACATAAACAGAGAAGAAATTCATACACGTTCGACAAAACAACTGCCAGGGTAAATGGGTGTAAGTCTTGAAAGTTCAGAAAATGAAAAATAATTTTCAAGTAGTTCTCACAAATAATGCTTACTGGTTTTACGAAAAATATACAGAAATATGATTTTCAATTTACACATTAATTTAAGATTGAAGTGACAGTTTTTTGCTATGCTACAGATAATATAAAATGCAGGCAGTAAAGTAGCAATACTTCAGTTGCAATTTCTGGACTTGTACACATTTACCCCAACATCTGAGAAATATAGGGAGTACCAAGAAACACACCATAATCTTCAAAAGCTGTTCTTGCATATTCTTACACTCTGTACAAACTGCAAAAATATTCCATTTAAGAGGAAAAAGGAATCTTTGGACAAAAAATGAGACAAACATGCTTGTAACACAAGTTACAGTCAAATTAAACTCAGATACATACACCACAATTTTGTCTTTTCTTTTACCTTCAAAATCCTAACTACAGTATTCTGTGCCCCAAGGGGCACTTTAATTAATTTATAAATAAATAAATAAAAACACAAATACCCCAACATAAAAAGTTCAATTTACCACCAGTCCATATAACACCTAGGACAAAGTGTGGTGCTCTATAAGGTTCAACTGTATACATAATCCTTCCATCTCATTAGTTTTCTCCATTTCTCCATCTCCGGTCAGGCTGCTATAGGACCACATCAATCTACAGGGTGGCGCACGAAATGATGCCCTATTTGTTTTAACGATAAATCAGCAACCACGTTACGGATGAAGTTTTCGGTCATGTGGGTAAGTGCAGTAGTTCATGGAGATACCATTAGGTGACACATACATCACCTAGCTAACGCGAGGTGATTATGTCACGGTTTCCTGCCAGTATGCAGAAGATGGCAGACAAGGGAAGACTTACAGTTCAGTTTTGTTTTCTGCGGAAACAAAAAGTGTTGTGGAAACACAGAGACGGTTTAATGCCCATTTTGGTACGCGGTGGGCCCCTGCTCCAAAAACTATTCAGACTTCATCAGCAGTTTCAACAGGATGGTACAGTGTTGGAAAAGAAACGTGGACGTGCCGCAAGTGTGCGAAGCCCACAGAACATTGAAGCTGTCAGAGTAGCCATGCAAAGAAGCCCGGGAAAATCAACCCAGAAGGCTACACCACACACAGCAAACGTTTTCTTGGACTTCCTGCACGACACTTTCGGTCCACGTGTGATTTCTCACCGATATCCTGCTCGCCACGGATGTGGACAGAAGTGGCCACCCAATAGTCCGGACATAAACCCCTGCAAATTTTTCTGTTGGGGTTACCTTAAGGAAAAACTGTTTCCAAAAAAACCAGCCTCAATCATGCAACTCAGGGCTTTGATTGTTTAAATGTATGGTGAAATTTCGGAGGATATGTGCCGTCGAGGCTTGGTTAATGTGTTCGTAACATAGCTTTTTTTTTCCACGTGAAAGGTTGTTAGCCTTACACCCAACCCCCAACCTGGAGGACCAGGGAGAATTATAAGTTAGACTTAGTGGCAGTGCAGGAAGTGCGACTTAAACTTTCAGTCGGGTATCATTTTGTGTGCCACCCTGTATGTCTACCGAGGTTTCTAACCAGTTTTCTTTAATGGAAA